CTGATGAGACACTGCGGCGAAACCGTGGAGTTCACTCATCACCTCTGCAGTCAGATGGCTGAGAGGGTTCGTTTACAGAGGCGTGGGGGAGACAGCGTGTCACCGGGGGTTAAAACATCAAGAAAGTCTGACAGCAGTCAAAGAGCAAACGGAAGGAGGGTACATGAATTGTTGCCTGGCAACAGAATTAGGCCGTTTTCAGCTTTGGTTTCCAGTCAGAAAGAGATGTGCATGAATGTGTGCGCGCCAGGGCCATATCCACCATAATCAAAGCAGGGGGATGTTTCCACCCCAGTTTTTAAATTAGTAGGCAAACAGTATGTCTTTCACAATGGCCGATACCTAAAATGGTACCTACCCGGTCTTGAAAATGTAGGTATTTGTAAGATGGTGTAAATAAAAAATGTGTAGGGTTATGGCTGCGATTTCAGTGCAGTGTATCGCAATCAGGCTGCGTATAATGAGTGTATGGTGTTTGAGTGAAAGATTTGTTGTTTTCATGAGACAAGCCAGTTAGAAAGATGGAGGGGAAAAAGATTGAGAGTAATTGCTCTGTAGAGAGATAAAAGAAGACTGAATAGGGAGGAAGGAGAAAGACAGCAGTGATTTTGGAAGGATGCAATAAAAGAAACAATGCTGGCCTGGAAAAAAAGCAAGCCAGTGAGAGAGAACATGTTAGAAAGAGGAGGAGAGAGATGAGAAAGAGCTTGCTACCACGCGGTCAGTTTTGCGCCTCAGGTGGAGCCCTGTCTTCAGATTGTGTGTGTATGTGTGTGTGTGTACATTCACCCTGCACTGCAAGCGCTTTTCATTAGCTTCATTTTCACATAACAAAGCAGCAGTCACAATCTCCTCTTCACTATAGCTAGCATCAGAGCCCCTCTCTGTCAACAGCTGTCCAAAACCTAGCAAGCTGTCTACTAGCATCACAGGTGCACTACAGGCATGACAGTTGTTTCAAAATGTGGGCAGCATGTATCCTTCCCTGAAAAATCTATTTCAGAATGCATTGCAACAACCTCCAAGAAAATCTAAGATGGTGGATGAGTCAAGAAAAAACAAAACTTGTTAATAAAAGTAAATAAAATCGAAAGTGTACACTTTTACCTAATATTTTGTGCTTTTAATGCTTAGAGTATCACGTTGTTAGCTTAGCAACATGCTAACGTCAAACTCTTGAAGTCTTGTGTGCTTAACATCAGGAACTCTTTATGCGTTGTGTCTCGCACAGGTTTATGGACAGCGTTCTAAATCATCTTATGTGGTTACATTTCTGTATAGGATGATGCCTAAGGGCCCATTCACACAGGACACATCCTAGCATTAAAAACAGCTAGACGGAGCGTGACAGAATTGAACAGAAGGCATGTTTATAGCGGCATTAACACCCATACACCTTTGCTAATGGGTAGCCTACTTGACATCAAAAACTTTTAGGAATTTGTTGTTCTGGCATTTTGCTAATTATTATGCATGCAGTTTTAATGAGCTGATATAATTTGAAAGACTACATTAAATATTTGTGTTTTTAAAATGTTCATTTATCACACTACAGGACCATTTAAAATAAAACCATTAAGGGAAAAAAAGTGTTTAAAAATCATAATAAATAGCTTCTTAAACTTACATTTTCCATGCACTTTTGTGTACATTTTAACCTAAAATACTGATTTAATAAATAAAAAAATTTCATGGACATGCATCAACTACCCATATATGCATATGTGTATGTAAATAAGCAGTGTTTAGGTTCATCCTATTACTTTAGTTCATCCGATTTACAGTGCTGCATGTCATAAACTATTTTTAACTTGACATAGCATCTAAAAAATGACATGCTCATGGTGTGAGATGTGCTGTAATGGACAAAGATGTTTACCTATTCCAGATTTACCACAGACCAGCAATGAGTGCAGACCAAACGCAAGAACATGTCCTGTGTGCACAGCCCTTCAGAAGACAGCTGCCAATGTAAGCAGTAGACAGCAAGGCAGCACGCTAGCTTTTTTTCTGTCAACTCCATATGTTCAGTGCATTCACGAAAATTTTTCCTTGTGCTGCCTGAACCCGCTAAAGTTAATCCTAACCCGCCTTTCATGCAAAGACCGTCTTTACAGTGCTCTGCGCTCCCACGACGGAAAGCCTCGTCTGCTTTTATAGTGTGGGATGAAATGTGTTATGGCTCATATACTCGTTCATACTCCTTTGAGAACAGTTAGAAGCCGTGAATAATCTCTAGAAATTGCTTCCATTGTGATTACAGCGCAGGAAGTGTAAAGCGTTATGGTGGATTTGAGTCTTCCTGCTTTGCTACCTGTATTTCAAATTTGCATATCATTTGGGTGAAATTAATTTATGTAGATTAGTCCTGGTTGATTGTTGGCTGTCTAATCAGATTGTGTGTGAGTGAATGTGAACATGTGTGTGCGCTGGCTCCAGTTCCTTGTACGAAGCCGGTGGTTTATGTGCTCTACGTCCCAGATTTGTCTCTCTGTGGTTTTTCAGCTCTTTAAAGCATGTTTCTCTTTCGCTTCCCTGCAATTCCACACTCATTATAGGGGCTTATGAAGATGCCCTGCTATTACATCTTGCTTTCAATGTTCCCTTCAGTGTTGTCAACTGGGTTCAAAATTAACACTCGCCAAGCTCCAACTGCAAGAAAAATTCAGCTTTAATGAGTTACTCGCCAGTTGTTATATACTGTATGTTAATATAGATTAACACAAAATTACAATTTCATTGCTGGAAGATTTTCTTAATTCACCCACATTTCAGACACAGTATGTCTAGTTATTTTGTCTTTTTTGTTGAATGGAAATCAGAATCAACCGTCATGCATGTTCCGAGCACAGCAGTGTGGTTTTTGTTCCTGAATGAATCAGAGTGGTTTTTAATGAGTCACTTGAGTCAGTGATTCATTGACTCATGTATAAAGGCAGTCGCTTAGTTCATGAGTGAGTATGTGTTTTTGAACAAATCAATTAAGTGAATGATTCACTGACTCACTCGTAAAGACAGACACTTGTTTAATTCCAGAATAAGGTAAATGAGTCACTTGAATCAATTATTCAATAACTTAATCATAAAGACAGTCGCTTGTTTTGTTCCTGAATGAATCAGTGTTTTTAAATGAATTAAGTGAAAGATTAATTGACTCACACATATTAAGTGAAAGATTCATTGACTCATGAAGACAGTAACTGCGTCCCAAATGACACACTATACACTATATGTACTTATACACTATGTACTTATGCACTATGTAGTCAACTATGCAGTGTATCAATTTTAGATTTTATCATTAATAATCTGAGTGATAGCCCCTCCCACTTCGTGATGTAATCCACTTGTTTAGTCGTAACGAAGGAATGCTGTTTCCGGGTTCAAGCCTCTACTCGTTTCACTTGAGAATACCAACTCAACAGCCATTCATGAGCACTATTTATTCATATTACATATTTAAGCTAAACATTTAAAAACTTACAGTGTACACTACGATCTCTGTGTTCACAGTGTTCCAAATACAAATATTTTAATGCTTTATAAAAAAAATGAATCACTATCTGGCCATCTGGGATTTCGGTATATGGAGATAAAGGTTAGGATTATAATTTTTTGGTAGTATTATATCACATTCTCAGTGTATATTAGTACCATTTGTTGTTTTCTTGTAGCATCTGTTAGAGCGTTTGGACCCGGAAGCAGTGACACTTAGTTTTTTTTTTTCGGTTATTTAAGTGCATCATCCGGTTATTTAAAGTGCACTTTTTCGTTTTGAAATTTTCAGTGTGAACGCTCTACTCACACTATTTATACTAAAAGAATGTCATAGAATAGTGCATAAGTATGTGATTTGGGATGCACCTAGTGACTTTTTAAATCCAGAATAAATCAGTGTTGTTAAATGAGTCAGCTGAGCTAGTGGAATCATATAGTCACCTGCTTGTGCCTGAAGGAATTTGTGTTGTTTAATGAGTCAGTTGAGTCAATCATTCAATAACTTACTCGCAAAGATAGTAGCTTATTTCATCCCTGAATGAATGAGTGTTTTTAAACAAATTAAGTGAAAGATACATCAACTCATCTACTTCATTCCCGAATGAATCAATCCGTTGAGTTAATCATTCAGTAAAAGACATTTGCTTCGTTTATTCCTGAATGAATCAGTGTTGTTAAGTGAATTTATTGAATTTTCAATGATTTAATGATTCACTCATCAAGACAGTCCCTTGTATTGTTCCTGAATGACTCTGTGTTATCGAATTAATCAGATGAGTATCAGTTAATATACA